GGTCCAATGATGGTTGTTCGGAAGTGCAGTGGCTGTCAATAGCTAAGTGGAAGTCTAGTGACAGTTGGCGACTAGGTGGAGACCCAACGGAGATTGAGTGAAAGTCCGGCGGATGTTGGCATCCATGAGGTGGTTCGACAATGGCCTGACAGAAGTCTGACAGTTGTCGGCGACTGGGTGGTAGTCCGGTGATTTCCAACAGTGATTCGCCGATGATAGTGTTGAAGCTCTTAAAGCCATAGGGATCTCTCCAATCTCTAGTAAAAAGGTCTACCTTCATGTAGAGTGTAGGGTTCTATATATAGATTTTTGGGAGTGGTAAGCCTCATAAATATAGAAAAGATTTGGTGTAGATTTGGAGAGCTCCATCGAACGATCCATATTAATCCACGATCAATGAGTGTTTTTAAGCTTTTAAGTGCCTTAATGATGTTGGAATTCAGTGATATTGGGCTTGTTGGATTCTTTCTCGTTGGCCGCTCGATTCGACTATAAGCATATCATTTGGTCATCCAATTTAAGCTTTGAAACTTCCAAATAAGTTTGGGCCCCGGACTAATTTAAGCTCGAATTAGACTAATTTTTATGTTATTGGGTTCGTCTTTTCAAGACGTTGAATTTGACTATAAGTTTGTAGAAATTGGAGTTCAGATGATCCCAAATTAAACTTTGAAATTTTCCAACTTGAATATGTCTCGAGATTCGTGCATGATCACGATGATAGTTTTTTACGTATAAATTATTTTTTTCAAGGCTTCAAGCTATCATGTTCAAATCGGATAATCAGTTCAAATAAGGTTAGCTTGTTCTTTTCGAGTTTATTGATACTTGATACGTCCTAAAAAAAATTATCTTGATCGGGCACGAATCTCGATGAAAATCAAGTTGGAAACTTCCGAAATTAAAATTGGAACCATCCAAACTCCGATTTCAACAAACTTGTAGTCGAACTGAACGTCTCGGAAATACGAACCTAACGGCACCAAATTCGACTCAATCCGAGCCCAAATGGGTCCAAAACAAGGGTCCAAAGCGCTGTTGGAGGGTTTGACCATAATTTGGGTTACCAAACGGTTTCCAAACAAGACTTTCTTATAGTTAAATCGGGCGGCTCGACGAGACAAATCCAACGAGCCTAAGATCACTAAATTCAGACATCACTAAGACCTTTAAATGTCTGACGAAGGGTCCATGATCAAAGGATATTCAATATCGGTCATCCATCCAACCACTCCCCATTTACCCTTGATCTCTCACCTATTTATGGGCCATGCCACTCCATAAATCTATATATAAACCCCTCATTTCTCTTGAAAGGGGACCAAAGCAAGAAGAGAAGAAGGAAGAAGAGAAGGAAGCGAATGAAGAAGCTCCTCCTCGACCACTGCCGGACTTCCGCCAAACCACCACTTGAGGCCCTCACCTCCGCCGGACCATCACCTGACGTTGTTGCTCTGCTGGACCACCACTTGAGGCCCTCATCTCCGCCGGACCACCGCCTGACACCGTTGCTCTTCTGAACCACCACTTGAGGCCCTTACCTCCACCAAACCAATGCTTGACGTCGTTGTTCTGCAGAACCAGCACTTAAGACCCTGAACTCCATCGGACCACCACTTGAGGCCCTCACCTCCGCCGGACCACCGTCTGACGCCGTTGCTCCACTAGACTACCACTTGAGGCCCAGACTTTCACCGGACCACCACTTGAGACCCTGTGCTCCACCAGGCCACCACCTGAGGCCCGAACTTTCGTCGGACCATCACTTGAGGCCCTGTGCTCCACCAGGCCACCACCTAACGCCCGAATTTCTGCCATACCACCACTTGAGGCCCAGACTTCTTCCAAGCCACCACTTGACGTCGAGAGTTCTCCCGAAGTACCGCCCTTCAACAACGGTCCTTCCAACCTCCGTCGCCTACCATGGTCATTTCGACCTTCATCACCAGACAATGGTCTTTCTGACCCTGGTCTCCTGCCGGCTACGGTCCTTCTTACCTTCATCGCCTACTATGGTCCTTTCGACCTCCATCAACAGACAACAGTCTTTTTGACCCCGGTCTCCTACCGACTAAGGTCCTTCTGACCTCCGTCACCTACTATGGTCCTTCCGACCTCCATCAACAGACAACGGTCTTTTTGATCTCATTATCTTGCCAACTATGGTCTTTCAGACCTTTGTCTCCTGCCGACTACGACCCTTCTGACCTTCATCACCAAACAACGGTCTTTTCGACCTCCATTTTATCGACTATGGTCGTGCCGACAAAACAAACACATCTATGATAACTCCCACCATGTAATGCACTATATATGATGTACATTTGTGACATCAAGTCAAGGCCTTCTCCCAAGGAAGGGCCTTATTTGTAATCGACTACAAATACTAGTGGATTCATTCAAACTGGGCTAGGCCCCATGGTTTTTTCCCTTTTCAGGGGTTTCCACGTAAAAACTCTAGTGTCTCTTATGATGCTACACCCTCTCACTTATCTGATTGTGTGTTGGATCTTCGTACAATGCTAAGACATTAAACTATATATTTCTCTACCGCCGCAAATATTTCAGGACGCAGCAAGACTAACCCATCATGACGTATTTTCCATGTTGAGTTCAGTCAAGATCCGGGTTGATCACGTTAGATTCGTTAAAAAATATTCCTTTCCTCTCAATGTAGAAACCAAATCACTATAGTTTGTCCCACTTGGTTTTGTATTCATTTACAAATGAGCAATTTGATCCTTTCATTTATTGGATGCTATATTTTAATTAGATAGTTTGGCTAAGAGACGAAACACAAGATAGATAGACTGATCGATCAAGCCAACTGCTCAAATTGATAAGTTTTATGTGCGATAGAGTAGTATTTTGTGTTAAAAGAATATTTTAAATTGGGATTATATTAGTATTAAACAAGTAATTATTGTTACATGCTAGAAAATTTTTTAGTATGTTGAATATGAATTTTACGTCTTAATAGTGTATAAAGATTTAGCACGTACTTATGAAAATAGTATGACCAAAAAATTTTTTGCGTGGAAACTCCAGAAAGGAAAAAAAATTGTGGCCTAGCCTAGTTGTAAAATCGATTATGTAGTAAGTGATACAGATATCCACATTTCTTCACTATTGATGAAGAGGCAGGTACAATACTTAATTTTTTCAATAAATTTGTACAAATAGATTTCCACAGCCATAAAAATTTATCCAATACTAGGGTGAAATTTGTCAGTATTCTGGATATTATAGTGATTTCAGATGTCGGACGTTAGTGGCAATGATGGTTGTCGGTAGCAATAACATGTGGTGATCGTTGATAGCGATGTTTGAAAAATACAAGAGAGTTCTCTCTATAGCTTTGTTTCTCCTTCTTCCTTCCCTCCTAAGAATGACGACCTATTTATAAGTTTTTAGGAGTGGCATACTCCATAAATATAGATAAAATTCAAGGCAAAGTTGAAGTGCTTCATCAAACGATCTGTATTGATTCCTTTTATTATAGATATTTTATCAAGCATTTAAATATTTTAATGGTGCCATAATTAAGTGATCTTATGATCGTTGAAATCATCTTGTCAAGCTGCTCGATTCAACTATAAGCATGACATATTTGGAGATTATTTGTTTATCCACATAATGCTTCGAAGCTTCTAAATATGCTTCAGTTCCTTAGTTCGATCTCATTTGAACTCGAATTGGGACTATTTAGGTGTCATTGGGTTCGTATTGTCGAGACGTTCAATTTGACTATAAGGTTGCTGAGATCGCACGGAGTTTGGATGGTCTCAAATTTAATTTTGAAAGTTTCTAATTCAAATATGCTTCGATATTAGTGCTTGATCAAGATGATTTTTGATGACATATTTGTTGCGTCCAGGAGTATTCGCGTCGAGATTCGTGCCCAATCAAGATAATTTTGTGATGACGTATCAATATTATTTATGCCGAACAAAATGCTGGCCATATTAATAGTGAGAAATCTTCTCCTATTAGTGAGAGCCCTACTAGCTAAATAAAGCAGTCATTAAAAATTAACCTGTAAGAGAGTAGGTGAAATTTAGTCCTCCAAAGAGGAAGATTAACTTCGGAGGAAGAAAATAAGCATGTGTCGGCCAATTAAACGTTGAGAAATTTTGGTCATCGTATGGTTAAAAGACATTAAATATTATCCTGATGTCTTACGTGTTTGAAAGAAATATCTAATTTTTTCTAGAAAGCTGTGTTAAAAACATATATTAGTTGATTTCATAATGGTTAAATTTGAGAATATGAATAGCTATAATTTGCATATCATTTTGAAAAAAAAAAACAATAAATTTTTTTTTTTAGAAAAATTATATTAAAATAAGCTTAAAATTAATAATTAATGGTTTGATAGTATGAGCCCATATGCAGATGGTATTAAACTGATATAGCCTTACAGTTTGTGCGGACCAGAGAATAGCATCCGGAGACTAATCAGAACGCGCTACGTTATTTTTTTGCTTGGTACCGGTGCTCCGTACCGCTTGGTACAGGATAACGTGGCTCATTCTAGTTGATCTCCGGACACAGAATAAATTCTCCTACAATGTTAGAAGGAAAAAGGAAAAACACATATCATGAATTTCTAAATTTTTTACTTTGTTAACATTAATACTTGACAACAAAAACTATACTTATATATATAAGAGCAAGGACGGCTGGCTGGTCGAGTTAAACAAAGCAAGGTGGTTTTCGTTGAGATGTTGGCATAGGAAAATGGTAGAAGTTTTCAATCATGAGGTTAACAACACAATGACCACTATTGCCAACCTTTCATTAATCAAACCCGTCTTTTTCTTCTTCTCTTTTCTTTGCTTGTATTATTTTTTATTTGGGTTTGGTGGGCAGAGAGAATCCTTGACTCTTTTTTTTTTTTTCATATATTTTCTATATTTTGCCATCATCAACAAATCTCTCCCTTCCCCTCTCGATCCCTGCACGTATCACTATATATCCATCCAAGCTCTTCGGTATAGCTTCTTTATTAATTACAGACCACAACATGCAATAAGCTTCCGAAGATATTGTATATATATTCAATATGTAGAGGTCATAATAGAACAAGGGACAGCGAGAACAAGAGAATTTCAGAGGCAAATAGAATGGGCAGAGGCAGAGCTCCATGCTGTGAGAAAGTTGGACTCAACAGAGGAGCTTGGACACCGGAGGAAGACATGAGACTCATGGCCTATATCCGCAAGTTCGGCCATGGAAACTGGCGTGCTCTCCCTAAGCAAGCAGGTCATTACCCTCTTCTCTCTCTCCCTCAATTTTTATTCTGTGTCGGCATCCGAGGAGAGAACCGTCTGGTACCTGCTTGGTACTGAGCGTTGTGCCGTGCTCGATATAGAGTGCGGTACACTTTTGAATGACGCAGAATAAAAATTCCTCTCCCCAATGAAACAGTGAATGACAAGGCAAAAGTTTTCATTTTTAAATATATGAGTACAGGGTTGCTGAGATGCGGTAAGAGCTGCCGCCTCCGTTGGATCAACTATCTCCGCCCTGATATCAAAAGAGGCAACTTTAGTATAGAGGAGGAAGAGACCGTAATCAAGCTCCATGGATTGCTCGGAAACAAGTGAGATCTTCGTTGTTTTTTAATTTTCTATTATATATAGACATGCTCGTTCATTTTTAAACTGAAATCCAAGCGCCACTCCTGCAGATGGTCTAAAATAGCTTCCTCCCTTCCCGGAAGAACAGACAACGAGATAAAAAATGTGTGGAACACTCATCTCAAAAAAAGACTAAAATCAAACGAGCAATCCTCGTCTTCTCCAACACCGACCATCGTCAGCACAGCCAACGCAGATCAAGACACACCAGCAAGCTCCTCCTCATCGGAAACAACCTCCATCTCCATCCCCTCCAATCTCGACTTCGATGATTTCAATGATTCTATTGACGAAATTCTTGCAATCGACATCGAGCCTGAGGTCTGGAATGATGTGATCGTCACAGAAGAAGCTGACGCAGGAGAGAAAAGGAATTGGCTGGCCTATTTGGAAGAAGAATTAGGCCTTTTCGATGACAACGGCGGCGGTGATGATGAGAACAAGATGGTGGAGATGGTTGTGGTGGGTGAGGGGGATCCAGTAACAAGTTATTTTCACAAAAGTTATTAATTCCTCACCCTCTTTTGTGTAGAAGTTGTTGACCTTCATCACTCGTGTAGATACGTTAAAAAGTCGTGGACTGAGTTTGGTAAATGTGTTGAATTTGTGAGATTATCATAATGGAGACACGTCGCTAAGTTGGAATCTGATTATATTGGCTTGCTCACCTACTTGCTGATTTTAGTCAAAGTTGTAGGTCTTAATTAGGAGGGAAAATTAAGCTTTCTGCTTAATTAATTAGTAATTAATGAGGTCATGTTCATGAGGTTGTACTGTTGACTCATCAAGTTTTTATCTAATTAAACAGCTCATTATGATCTGTTGGTTGAGAGCTTAAACTATCAACTAAGATCTAGGGTCAGATCTTATGTATGTTTTGTATGTATGAATCTGTTTTAATTGACTTAAAATATTAACTAATTTTGAAAAAAAATTAGAATTCATCGAAGTCTCCAAATAAAATAAATATTGAGTTAATTTAATTTTTATTTTTTTTATATTTTTGAAGGTGAATCGATATTGGGCACATGCATGGTCTCACTGATTGGAAAATTTGGGTCACATGGTACAGAGAGCATAAGAATAAATAATAATAATATTATAAATATTAATTTATTTGAGTAGGGTGAGTCAAATAATCAGTGGATTTATGTGAATTTTGTGAGTCCCATTAGTCATGTGAGATATGGACTACAGAAATTTTTGACATGTGCTAACTGAAGGATCTCTCATTAGATATACATGACGTTTTTTTTTTTATATATATTGAATGTGTTCGTATGAGGAGAATAATTTGAGCATTTAAATAAATTAAAAAAAAGAATTTGCCACCCCTATATTTGCACTACATCCATTAATATTGTAGATTATGTTTAATTTTTTATCACTTCAAAATTAAATTTATAATTGTAATTTAATATCACTCATATATATTTTGTAATTACACGTGTGAGTTTTGCTTAGGACATTGATCATTAAGTTTTTTTCCAAAAAAATTGCATAAGAATGTGTTGGGAATGGAAGTAAAGCAATGCGACAAAAAAAAAGAGTAAAGCAACATAAAGTAAAGAACAACAAGATTTAACGTGAAAATATCTGAAATCGAAAAAAAATAACTACTGAGCCACACAACATTAAGAAATCCATTATGAAAATGGGGGAAAATAAGCAAATCTCTCTTCTCTTGCTTTCTTCTTGCTTCTCTTCTCTCTTACACCTTTCTCACAATCTAAACAGAAAAGAAAGTCAAATTAATAATACAAATGGATGCCACCATTCAAAAAAGCAAGAAAGAAATTTATTAAATCTGCCTCAAAGCATTGTGGCGCCAATTTGGAGCTCTCAAGCCTCTGTCATCATGATGTTGCGGCGCTCAAACCTGCAGCGTTGCGGTGCCAAATCTATGGCGCTGCATAGTTTCGTTCTTTGTTGTTTCTTCCATCAAATTCTGCAACGACGAGGCGCTGGGGAACATAGCATAAGGGAGCTCGGGAACACAGCGCCAGGTAGCTCGGGAACATAGCGCTAGGGAGCTCGGGTACACAACGTCACGACATTCTAGTACGCAACGCCATTGCATTCGGGTACGCAGCACCGGCGTGCTTGAGTACACAGCGTCAAGCATTCTATGTTGAAAAAGGAGGACCCCCTAGCACCACCACCTCCACCCCAGTGAATGCAACAAATTGAACTGAAGTTCGTGCAATAGTAAAATGTGATTGATCAACACAATCAGATTTCACACAAAACTAACAATATCTCAATCTATTTTACATCAAATTAGACTTCAAAGTCCTCTGATTTTCGCTGAAATTAGTGCCTCCCTTGAATATCACGTATTGAGCAAATCTACATGCAAATTCAAAGACTTTGAAGCTCATCCTAACGCATAACACGTCATGACATAATTACATAACCCTATTTTTTGCATTTTTCCTTCAAACTTTATTTAGCACTATTGCGTTATCATTATGATATATTTCTATACAACAAGAAGTATATATGCATTTCTCTTTATCAAAATGTTAGAGATGAAGCCCTTTTCAACACACTTTTTTACATAAATTAAAATTGCATATAAATAAATGAATAGCATGGGTTAAATATTTTTGTACCAACTGCCCCTTACACTAATAAGGCAATTTCGGTTTATGTTGTCGCATAAAATATTTTCTTCCCATAGTCATATAAATATATAGCATATTGAGATATGATGTTGCTGGCCTTAATTCAATTCTGCAACGTTTTTCAGGGCTCGCATTAAGTATTCGAAAGAGACTTTAGGAAGCATAAAAAATTGACTTGCAAGCTTAAATTGTTCTAATTAATGTACTCTATTAGTCTATTGTTTTGTCCTGCTTTGAAAATCTGACTACGCAAACATTTGTCTGCAATGCAGTGGAGTGGTTGTTGAGATAAGAGACTTTAGAAGCACAAGAACCACAGCTCTATGAAAAGCTAGTTTTCTCTTTAAAATTGAAAAATAAACGACATAGAGTAGACAACTTTTGACTTCTGCTCTCAAATGTTCGCTAAAATCTGACTTGCTTATTCAAAAAAAAAAAAAACTAAGTGGAAAGAATTTTTCAATATATACAGGAGCAATTATTACGTTAGGTCACCTGACGCGTTTAAAGACCAATAATCACGCGCCACATCACCTAAAACTCAGTATTATGCATTCGGTATTGCTCGGTATACGTCCGGATTTTCGTTTTTTTGTCCGGACGTAATAATTACTCTATATAGAGAGGGGGATAAGAGAGGCGTGTTGTGAGTAAGCTATGGAGAGTAAAAAAGAGAAGTAACATAATGAGGAAAAATTTTCAAGAGATGTATACATTTTTTTTTTTTTGGGTATTGTATATAAATTTATGCCGCGCATTGGATTAATTGATTGTCAATTATATAAATTTCATAAAATTTTATTGGTCATGGCATAACTTTTGAAGCACATTGGATAGCCTCTTCTAACCTTGTAAATTAGAGATATCTCCAGTAAAAAGAGAATATTATATATATTTATGAGATGCAATGTGAGACTAATGAGTAATGAATATATGAGTAGAATTAGTTGTTATCTCGAATTTGCTAACTTGAGGACTATGAATATTTCTTCCCCTAAAGTTTTAGCTTGTAGGAGAACTTATAAGGGTGTGGATGATGGGCTCAATGTTGTGTCTATTGTCCAATAATAATACGCCATATGAATATAATTGAGGATGTTTAAATTTTTAATTTACAATATAATTTAATATTGAACAACGGATGCGGCTTAATCTAATAATTTTCGTACTTATAAGCCATCGTCAACAAGTGTCGCTCTTCTTGTATCAAACCATGACCTTTTCATTACACATGTATGTTGACTTCATTCATTAGCTTTCTAACTCTTCACCCACTTGGATTTCATTGTTAATTATGACGTCGAGTTAAAATCCAATTCTACTCCTATTAAATATTTGATGTTTGAACTTTTCGTTCTTCCAGCTCAATGTTCGGCCGAATTTTCAAAATGTTGCTTGCAACTTGCATGATGACTTCTCGATCCTCACTGCGATTTTCAAAATGGCCTTTGTCGCCTTTGTCGCCGTACTCATTCATACTATATATTCTTCCGATCATCACCACACCAATGTTACTAACAACATTCATCACATCAACTATTGGATCAACGGTTGTTAATGCTACAATGTTAAAGAACACCTATAATTAGTTAGTTCCACCCACTAATATTGATGTCAACCCCTTCATGTGATCAGCAGATTGCCCATGGTCTTCTTCATCTTTCACTTCAAAATCTTTATTGACGCCACCATTATTATTGTCATCAGCTTCCTCAATCACTACTCTAACTCCTTTATCATTAGTTACATCGGGCACTTTAATAGAAATGTGAATTTTTTTCCCCTAGCTCTAAGCCATCATTTCAACATCCTCAATATCAATATTAGCTACCACTTATGCATGAAGAAGTGAGCCAACTTCCACTCCATGAAGTTGATAAGACCCCAAGTTTTCATGATTGCATAAGATAAAGAAAGTTGTTAGGGTATGTCATAAACCAAAAGAGAAAAAATGAACTTCCATGCACAATGACAAGCGCTTGTCCTCTTTTGTTGAAGAATTCAAATAACCCGTCAAAAAATCATGAATGAATTCAGTGTAAGCTATGCAGGATGGCACTACTCCATGTGAACAACTTCTTCAACTCCTTAATAATGAAAGGAAGCCTAAAATAGTAATTGAAAGCCATAAAGCAAAAAAAGAAATTTCTCTCATTGGGGGCGCATTATGTGTCTCATCAACTTTCATTACATGATAGCTCATAAACATTAAGCATTTGAATCATTGTGACAACATCTTTAATATGTTGTCATCCATAATGAATGACATGAAAGATCAACAACATTTTTACGTGATTATACAGAACTCTTTTTGCATCATTGTTTGGAAATCCATTTGTTATATTTGAGTTTTATAAATATATTGTTTCATTTTATGCCTGAAAAATAATTGTTGATAAAATATTTATAATTTGCATCAACATGCAATAACATTATAGTATGTTAAAGTATGCACTGATATCGTGTCTTTAAATCTTTGAAGTTAGCATGATATTTGTAGTGCCAGTGATATTTGAGTCGTTACTAACCTCTTTTGTGTAGGGCTGTCAAAATTTGGTCACGGGTTGGGTTCAGGTATAACCCAGAACTATTCAACCCAACCTGAATCCTACCCGTTTTTGCAAATGGGACGGTTTTACGGACCCGAGTCCGACCCGCTTCAGGTCCAGATCAACCCAAACTCAACCTACTTCTGGTATATTTTAATAATTTTTTTATTTAATTCGATTTATTTAAACCTAAATTAAATTAAGGTAAAATTTACTTCAATTAATTTAAAATAAATCAAACTTAATTAAATTTGGACAACATTATTTATTAATTTTTGGAAAAAGTATTTACTTATTTCATAACAATCTTTTAAAACCCTCATAAATTAATTAAAAATGGGTCAAACCGGATTGATTTCGGGTTTCGGGGTCAACCCGAACCCTACCTAGTTTTACAATATGGTTGTAATCTTCAGGTTGACCTGAACCCGAAATTTTCGGTTCTGGTTAGAATTGGGTTTTCGGGTCATGTCAAATATTGACACCCCTACTTTTGGGGTTTCTATAACATTTTTATTGAACAGTAAAATCGTGGCTAAAAATCCCTAGTTATTTTGGGTGGCTAAAATTTAATCCAGTCAAATCAAAATGATTTTTATAGAACTAGACTGGATAATTAAATCCCAACCATCCAAAATTTATGAAAAGGCAAGGAAATAATAATTACATT